TTCAACTCTTTTGGCAACCTATCAACTGTTTGAATGAAGGGGCAATTACAAGAATTCCCAGATGGCTGATTCGTATTCTCATGAGTGGCATCATCAAATTTATTTTCCTCGGATACAGTATAACCATCTGCGTTGATTTCGACAGGCCAATCGCGAAATTCAACTTTGGCATCGCCCTGTTTAAGTTGTAAGTCGTCTACAGTCATACCAACGTTGGCTATAATAAGGTTGTGGAGTAATGATGAGTTGGAAAACAGGAGCGGTTGGTGCAGACAGCCCATAGGATTGATACAAGCACATTCACTTTGAGGTGGACAGTTTAGCTGGACAGATAGGCAAGCAACGCGATAGGCGAGAAGGCTGAGAGGAAGAGGACGACTGGGTTTTGCGGAGTGTGAAAAAAAACAATATATTGCTAGCTATTAGAGAGGAATGATCAGTAAAATAATTTGAATAAGAACTGTGCTCATTCTGGATATTATAAGGTGACGAAAGACTCATAGTTTAACTCTACAATAATAATATGATAAGCCACACAATGCCACTGAATATCACTCAGTTTTGCTTCTCATATTTCATTCTCATCCAGAGTGGACTAAATTTTCGACTTCGCCCGGGTCTCATCAGCACCCTCAGCAGAGTTAAAAGTCAGGTTGTGCGGTTAGTGACGATATGTCACAACTAAGCCATTCAGTCACGATTGTCAGTATGTTATTATAAATATAAGTGGAGGTAGTAATGGCAAATACAAGTTTGCCTCATCGACAACCATAGCATAAATGTGACATGAAATAGGCCTAGATTGCTTTAAAGTCACATCTGCATCATGACTCAGCAACATCCATAGCTGCTTTGCGAAGTTGCAACCTCTAACCACTCTACCAGAACGATAAGGTTTTAAATCCAGTTGGGGTTGCTGATTAGACACAGGCGGGGTGGGGTCGGTGGGGTCGGAACTGTTGGTGAGTTTCGATGTACAATCCATGTACACAAACATCTCAGGCGAGAAGGCGGTAAGCGCCTTGCTCGAGATTTTGGATCGAGAATATAGCATCCTGGAGGCAGAACGGGTACGGAAGGAATCGTTAACACATCTGATCAACCTGACAGTTATGACAGCATATTTCACATTTAACGGCAGTATCTATGAGCAGATATTCGAACTACCGATCGGATCTTCATTCTCACCTCTTTTAGCAAATTTATACATCGACAAGTTGGAAAGGGAATTTGAGAAGTCATTACTGCAACCAAGAGTGCTCATGCGATACTTGGATGACTACTTTGCACTTTGGTCACATTTGTGGGAATCACGACTATTGTTAGCTAACCAGCTCTGGCTTCCATTGTTTATATCCTCTTTCTATCTATAATACCAAGCCTATGACTTCCTATGCCCTAGTCTCTTGTATGCCAACCCACAAATGTTGTGATTCAACATTGAACCAAATCAAAACAAGCTGTACCACAACATTTATGGGTTGGCAAATGATTGCCAACTATGTGCGGTTGGTGGATAGGAGTAAGAAGAGAGAGAGGGAGCAGGAAGAATAGGTGATTAAGAAGAGACTTGAAGAACCTGCAATCTGGTTAGAGGTATCACGTCTCATATGCATACAATACATAATACCGCAACCTCGGCAGTAGTCAATATCAGAGGATAGTATGCTGGAGTATTATGTAAAGAAACAGCTACGATTACAATGACTTCTTTTTCAGAAATTAACTTCACCCATCAGCAAGCATTTAAGGTAAGCATGAAATAACCAACTAAATTGCTATGCATCATTATGACCAAAAAATTAGGTATAAGAAATAATTATATGCCATCTTTTCTTTTGGCCACTATATCAATACGATTTTTTTAAAGTATCGTTTTATCTTTGGCTATATCTATTACATGACGTAAAAGAAAGCTCGACACAAGTTCATTGCGTTTGCAGGACGATGTGTCGAGGACTTCTTT